GAATTTTCCGCCATTGCCCAACAAAGATAAAAAAAATAAAAAAGCTGCTCCTCAAACTTCTCAAAAGAAATCCAAGTCCGAACGAGGTTTGCTAGCTTTTTCGGACATTGTGGAATTCATATTAAACATGTTCAACATACAAGACCCTCTAAGAAGCTTAGTTTCTGCCTTGCTTCCAACGTTAGAATCATATCTTAAGCAATTGACTGTTTCATGGCCCCTCCTTGCATCAATCATATCTTTCGATGGATAATTCGTCGAACGAGGTTGAAGATATGATCACTGTGCTACAGTGGAACTGCCGTAGTCTAGTGCCTAAACTAGACTCGTTCAAATTTTTACTTCACAATTCTGATTGTGATATATTTGCTCTCTGTGAAACATGGCTTTCTTCCGATAAAGAACTCAACTTCCACGATTTTAACATTATACGCCTGGATAGAGACGATTCTTATGGAGGAGTACTTTTAGGGATCAAAAAGTGCTACCCTTTCTACAAAATTTCCCTTCCTGCTCTATCCGGCGTTGAAATCGTTGCTTGCCAAATAAATGTGAAGAACAAAGATCTTTGCATAGCTTCAGTATACGTTCCACCAAGAACCTCCATTAGCCGTAGTCAACTCTGGAATCTAGTTTCGATTCTTCCATCCCCAGTATTAATTCTGGGTGATATGAACTCCCATGGTACTGGGTGGGGCGATCTATATGACGACAATAGAGCGGCTATTTTTTACGATTTATGTGACGATTTCAATTTGACTATTTTGAACACTGGTGAAGCGACACGTATAGCAAAACCTCCGGCTCGAGAAAGCCGACTCGACCTATCTTTGTGTTCAAGATCGCTATCATTGGATTGTCAGTGGAAGGTTATCAATGATCCCCATGGTAGCGATCATTTGCCAATCATCATTTCAATAAAGTGTGGCCCTCACTCTGCAGAACCATCTCGGGTTCCATTTGATCTTACAAGGAACATCGACTGGCAGAAATATGCAACGGCGGTGACAATCGGTGTCGAATCAATAGATGCGCTTCCACCATTGGAAGAATATCGATTCCTAGCCGATTTGATTTACAAAAGCTCACTGGAAGCACAAAAAAGAAAAGTTCCGAGTGCACCCTTTAAAAGGAGACCAGCCACACCTGGTTGGGACGAAGAATGCACAAAATTGTATGTAGAAAAATCTGATGCTTTCAAAGCTTTTCGTAGACACAAAACCTCCACTTACTTCGAGGAATATTCAAAGCTTGAGACAAAGCTGAAACAATTAATCAAAGCAAAAAAACGCGGTTATTGGCGCAATTTCGTCGAGGGACTCTCACGAGAAACCTCAATGAACACCTTGTGGAGGGTGGCTCGCAACATGCGTAACCGCTCATCTTTCAATGAGAGTGAAGAATACTCCAACCGATGGATATTCGATTTCGCTAAAAAGGTCTGTCCGGACTCAGTTCCAGCACAAAATATTCTTCGAGAAGCGTCTCCTAGCGGCGGCTCTCTGGATAGACCATTCTCAATGCTGGATTTCTCTATGGCTCTTCTTTCATCGAACAACTCCTCACCGGGAAGCGATATGATTAAATTCAATCTTCTGAAAAATCTCCCAGATATCGCTAAAAGACGCTTGCTAGATTTATTCAATTCCTTGCTAGAAAACAACATTGTACCGCCTGAATGGAGACAGGTCAAAGTAATAGCCATTAAAAAACCTGGCAAATCAGCGTCTGACCATAACTCATACCGTCCGATTGCTATGCTTTCGTGCATTAGGAAATTGTTGGAGAAAATGATCCTTCGGAGACTCGATCACTGGGTCGAATCAAATAACTTGCTATCAAATACACAATTTGGGTTCCGCAAGAGCAAAGGAACAAACGATTGTCTAGCGCTGCTTTCCACAGATATTCAACTGGCCTTTGCACACAAGGAGCAATTGGCTTCAGTATTCTTGGACATTAAGGGGGCTTTTGATTCAGTTTCCATTGAAATTCTGTCAGACAATCTGCACAGATGTGGACTTTCTGGAATTTTAAATAATTTCTTGTACAATTTGTTGTCAGAAAAGCAAATGAACTTTTCTCTTGGAAAACTGACAACTTCCAGAATTAGTTACATGGGCCTGCCCCAAGGCTCATGTCTCAGCCCTCTTCTTTATAACTTTTATGTCAAAGATATCGACAACTGTTTGGCAGAACAATGCACGCTAAGACAACTTGCAGATGACGGTGTGGTTTCCGTAAGAGGTCCACATGCCGTGGACTTGCAAGGACCATTGCAAAATTCCTTAGATAACTTGTCTTCTTGGGCTATGAATCTAGGGATCGAATTCTCGCCGCAGAAAACTGAACTGGTAGTGTTTACTCGAAAGCGGTACCCAGCCCAAATGCATCTTAATCTTTTGGGCAGAAACATTACTCAATCATTGTCTTTCAAGTACCTTGGGGTCTGGTTTGATTCAAAGTGCACTTGGAATGCCCATATTACGTATTTGAAGCAAAAATGTCAGCAGAGGATCAACTTTCTCCGTTCAATTTGCGGCACATGGTGGGGTGCTCATCCGGGAGACCTCATAACGCTTTATAAAACAACTATTCTCTCTGTTCTAGAGTACGGCTCTTTCTGCTTTCTCTCGGCAAGAAAAAGTCACCTAATAAAATTGGAACGAATTCAATATCGTTGTCTGCGTATTGCTCTAGGCTGTATGCACTCAACGCATAACATGAGTCTCGAGGTTCTGGCAGGAGTAACACCCCTCCAGAACCGTTTCTGGGAGCTCTCTCTCAGAATACTAATCAAATGCGGAGTGACGAACACACTTATAATTGCTAATTTTGAAGAAATTCTTGGGCTGAACACACAATCTCGATTTATGAGAATCTACCACCACTACATATCATCAGATATGTGTCTTCCTTGTTATACTCCAGACCGTGTTCACTTCACCAATCGCAGTTCCTCAATTGAATATGATCTGACCATGAAACAAGCAACTCATGGGATTCCCGATCAACTTCGACCTATTATTATCCCACGTATTTTTACTGAAAAGTACCAACAAGTCAATTGCATGAAAAGATATTTTACAGACGGGTCCCGTCTCAATGGATCCACTGGCTTCGGTGTCTTCAATGAAAACTCTAGCGCCTTCCGCAAACTTCAGGAACCTTGTTCCGTTTTTGTTGCTGAGCTGGCAGCAATCAACTTCGCATTGGGGATGATTTCCAACATGCCCGCAGACCATTACTTCATCTTCTCGGATAGTCTCAGTTCCATTGAGGCTATTCGGTCGATGAAACCAAGTAGGCACTCATCTTATTTCCTTTCAAAGGTAAGGGAGCAGATGTGTGTGCTGGTCGAAAGATCATATATGATTACCTTTGTATGGGTCCCCTCACATTGCTCAATCCCAGGCAATGAGAAGGCGGACTCTCTCGCAAAGGTGGGCGCGCAGGAAGGCGAATTGTATGACAGGCAAATTTCACACGATGAATTTTACCATTTAGTGCGTCAGAGTACCTTTTCGAGTTGGCAAACCGATTGGGACACTGGAAATCTTGGACGGTGGTTACATTCAATTATTCCTAATGTTTCTTCGAGAGCGTGGTTTAAAGGCTTGGGCTTAAGTCGTGACTTCATTCGCGTGATGAGTAGACTTATGTCCAACCACTACTCGCTAGATGCTCATCTCAATAGAATAAACCTCGTGGACAGCAACATCTGTCGGTGTGGAAACGGTTACGATGACATCGAACACGCAGTTTGGCAATGTACGGATAATGACGCCGCCAGAGAGCGACTTTTGAATACCCTCGAGGCCCAAGGAAGACAACCCTATGTTCCTATCAGAGACGTGTTGGCAACCCGTGATCTCTGCTATATGCAGTCCGTTTATGTTTTTCTTCAAATGTCTAGTATAAGAATTTAATTCCTTTTGTCTTTTGTCTCTCTTTATTAGTTTTTGTTTGTCTTGTCCCCCCGTCTCGATGAGTCTCATCGTCGCCCACTGGTCACCCACCATAGCCGGTCGAACTCCGGACGAAGCTAGAACAGCACTACCGTTCATACTGGCGACAACGCTCTGATGAGACAACGAAACCCTACCCCAAGCTCCTCCCCTGATCCTATCCTTCGAAAATGTACCCTTCTAACCTCGAGTAAGCCGCGAGTAATCGGCCCAACTCCTACTAGACATAGAATTAAGTGAATTTTGTTACACACAGTGAACAATGAATTATCGGCTCCGTAAAGCTAACGCGATTGAGCCTCCCAAATAAACGAACTAGATAAAAAAAAAAGTAACTATGTATATGAGCAAAGTTTCACTCAAATCGGAAACAATCCTGTCCAACCGGTTTGCTCTGCCCCAAAACAGCTTTAAAAACGCCAATAATCTTGAATTCGCCCAAAAACACCAAAACAGTCCTGAAGGTAAATGGTGACTAAATCAGATCTAAAATCACCAAAACAGCTCAAACATGGCATTGAATTCCCAAATAGGTTTGAAACGGCAAAATATTTAAGGAAATTTGGAAGCAGAATTTCGTTATGAGGTTTCGAAAAGAAAATTTAATTGTTTTCTATGAATTTGATTGAACATTTCGGCAACTTCATAATTAATTGCAATTTTAGTCGTTTTTACTAAAAAAAAAAAAACAATAGGTCACATGCCTCTCAACTTAGATTATCCCAACAAAGTTCGTAAAACTGTTACATACACTTTTTAAACGTACCAAGTTGTCTGAATTCATTGGACCGATCTAAGGACAACTCGTGATTTAAAGATTGAGAAATGCTGGTCTAGCCCAAACCTGTTTTGAGGGGAAAGTGGTGGAACTATCATCATCATTATCATAAAATGTATTCTTACTTACCTAATTCAACTGTACCTATCTGATGATGATTCTAGATACAGACCTGAGAGGTGTTAAAAAATCAATACGAATGAATTCAATTAGAGAGATTTTAGTCTTATATTTTAAGAAGTTGTAGTATTCACCACTCGCTTCATAATCCTATCGCATCTTTATACGGTTTAAAGGCTCTTACGGTTAACAATTAAGATCTTGATTAGAAGTGATTTTAAATTTTTCCCCTGGCTTATACATTCCAAAATACCCTGTTGTCGGGTTTTTTTTATTATTTAACCGTGACCAAACACTCTCCGGCGCCAACTAGGCTTCTAACGGGCTCATTCTTTGTTATTTTCAGATCCTCTCGGCTGGTAGGTAATATGACACCGCGCGCATGGTTTCATTATCAGAGTCGATTTTATTGTCATTTTTCTCGCAGTCTGTGTCTGGTGACCGTGTGCCCGACTAATGGGATATGTCGTGTCTGGGGGTGGCGCCTGTTTCTCATGAAACCTGAAGATCCTGCTCCTCCAACCACTCCCGATACTTGGCTACATCCGTGTAGACAGCATATTTACGCGTATCGCATTTGCCCGTGTCCGGGTCGATGAGTGCATAGGATACAATTCCCCGCAGTAGCCAACGACCTGCGCGCCGCACGTACAGTCCACTACCCGAGTCACCTTGACATGGTCCGGTACCTTGACCTCCAGCGCAAAAGGTGCGCTTCGAGGTTGTCAACTGAAATCCGATGTCGGAACGGATGCAATCTACTTCGGATACGATCGGCACTTGGCCACTTTTGGGAACGTCGGAAATAATCCCTGACTCGGTGAAGCCCCAACCAACAACGGTCCCCAGCTGGCCGACTATGATCGATTCATCAGCTTCACCATCCCACAGGCAAATAGGTCTGACTGAGCTAGTGTAGCTGATTTCGTTCGGTAGTATAATAGCTCCTATATCGTAATCGAAAGCATCACCTCGAAAGCCAGAGTGCACCACCAGGGCTCGAGGGTTGATGGTTTTCGCCTCTATCTCCGTCCAGTCCATGATATTGTAACGTCCTAGTGATACCAATATTTCAGCTGCTTGCAGACGAGTATTTCTATTCTCTGTCAGCAGACAATGGGCAGCCGTCAATAGAATTTTGTCTGAAATTAAAGTTGCTCCACAGCGGAATTGCAGCGAACCCAAGTCGCTGTTTTTGAAATATATTGCACTCAGCCAAGGCCACTCGCCTCGACGGGTTTTGGTCCCTCGAAACAGTAAGGCTACAGCTGGGCTGGCAGGTTGTCCACAAATCTGTTTGTTCGTCAGTGTCCCATGTTGGTCTTCACCGTTAAATTTAACGCTATTCAATGGAGGCGCATTAGTGCTTATTTCATCACTACCAGAATCGTCACTGTCACTTTGGTCATCGTCATTTATCGTCTGTATGTTGGTATAATGCTTCAATTTGATCGTGGTCACTCTATGCCCTTGTGCCGGAGGCCCGCTACATATAATCTTCCGATTCAACTTGATCGAAACCAGGTTCGGCAACGGATGTGACAGTGATATTCTCAGTCTGGCTGGCTTCCGAGGAAGATCAACGATGTTTAGTAGCTCCAAGGAACCAGTTGAGTGCTGAAAGTTTTGGTTTTGCTCTATAGTTTAGGTTAGCTAATGCAGTAAAATCGAGTATCTATACCTACCGCGATTGATGACATGGAAAGAATCACTTCCAAAGAGTTGTTGAAACCATTGCGATATCCTTCGACGGTGATTGCACCGTAGACGGAGAGTAACTTTGAGTCCTTACGGTATTGAAATATCTCTGGACATGGCGATATGGGATAGTTTGCCAGCGAACACGGTAGAGAATTGAGTTGGACGCACAGTGCTAGAAGCTGAAGAAACTTCATTGTTTTGTTGATCGGTAGACAAACTGAACAAAGGTGATAGCCGTTGCCTTTCAAATGTGGTGTGGGCTCCCATATTAAAAAAAATACAAGTGACTCGAAGATTATACCAGATATCAGAGCAAATTATTTAATGTATATTACGATTTAGACCACTAGGGGTAGACGGGGCAAGATCGCCATCCCCGGCAAGTGGAGCATCCATTAAATTTAAATCAAAAATCATATATTATCATATATTATATCATTTATGATCTACACATACGTATCTTTCAATAACGATATAATTGATTGATTGATTTGCACTAGCGTGCATAGGAATCTATGGTGCATTTAATCGGGATGGGGAGTACTCCAAAGTGCGTGGTGGATGGTGCTGTCCACCCACCACTATTTCCCAACTGTTCAATTTAGCTTATTTTATTTATTTTTTGCTCCGGTGGTGGTTCATCTTTTTCAAACTGCTTTTAGACATCCAATGGAATTGGCAATTTAATCCCATCATTATCAATATACCTGATGATAATCACCAACTCGCAAGGTTTTCGCAATGTTCCGCAATACTACATTGTGCAACGACGTAATCATGTCATTTTGAATATGGTTACTTGTGGCATCTTCCGCCAAGTGTTTTTCCAGCACAGGATTGTAGTTAGCCACCAACTGGGTGGCACACTTTCCGAAAGGTCGGCCACCTTTGCAAAGTATGCGCACAATATCGATGAAACGTTCCATTATATAGCGAATTTGTAGCCGCTTTGCCTCACTAGCAGCAATCATAGCTGTTTTGGTGGTCCAGTTCTTCGTCGATACCCTTCCTGGTTTTGAAATTTTTCCACGCTTCCATACTACCAACATGGGTATCACTGCGATTGTGTTTGCCCAGCATATGCTGTTGTAGTTACACTTTACTATTACCGTTGCGAGTACGTTGAACTTGGTCAAATTGTAGTTCTAATTTTTTATTTTCAAATTTTGACCTAAATTCCAAGATCATTAAAAAGGATTAAAAAATATGTAACGATTGGAACAAAAGCGCAAAAAACTATTTTGACAAGCGAGTACAGGATTGTTAACGGAATTACGACTTATGCGAAGGATTGAGCATGTCAACCCTGTCCCAAAGGACCGTCATTCGGGGTGTCAAGAACTGATGCAGAACATTCAACATGTTTTAAAGATCCCGAATTTATTGCAACGCACATAAACAGCTGTAACTTTTTAACCACGGTAACAAATGATTTTAAATTTTCAGAGAAGATTCTTAGACAAATTCTTAGTAAGACAACAAAATTTGATTTTCTCTGAATTCTTTTCGAAATTATCTTGAAACTATCTGCAGGATGCACTAGAAATTATCCGCAGAATTTTCTTTGAATTCTCCCCAGAAATATTTTGGAACTGCCCTAAGAATTCAATTTCCTAGAGGTTCTTCTCGGATTTTTTTTAGAACTCTCCTTAAAGCTCTTTTGAAATTCATTTCAGAAGTCCACTGGAATGATACTTAAATCTTCATGATTTTTTCTCAGAAATTTTCCCGGAATGAGCTAGAAATTATCCTCGGAATTCGCTTGACATTTTGCTTAAAATTCCGTTGGAATTTCACTCAAAATTTGATTTTCTTGGTATTCTTTTCGAAATTATCTTGGAACTATCTGCAGGATTCAATAGAAAATATTCGCAGAATAATAATGGAATCATCTCCAGAAATCTTTTCTTTTGGAACAATCCTCAGAATTCAATACCCTTGAATTTCTTCTCGGAAGTCAAGTTTAAGTTGTCCGTCCATTCACCAAAACGTTGTAGTTTTTCTACCAGATATGTTCAATAAAGCTTGCCCCTACATTCACCAGAACTGTGCAATTTTTACATCAGGAATTTTCAATTCAGCTTGCCCCTCTATGCAGCAGATTGTTGCAAATCTTACACCAGAAATTTTCAATACAAACTTGCCCCCAGGTAATTTTAGACCAGAAAATTTCAATTGACCAGAATGGTGTAAATTTTCCACCGTTAATCTATGTAGGTATATAAAAATGAATTTCTGTCTGTCTGACCCTTATAGACTCGGAAACTACTGAGCCGATCGGCGTGAAAATTTGTATGCAGGGGTTATTGGGGCAGGGAAAGGTTCTTATGATGGTTCGAGACCCCTCCCCCTCTGTAAAGGTGGGCTCCCATACAAATGAAACAGAAATTTCTGCATAACTCGAGAACTAATCAAGCAAATGGAACTAAATCTGGCATGTGGAGGTCATAGGTAGCCCTATATATAGATAAGAGGGGGGGGGGGAGGGCTACGTAAAATATAGCATGTTTTTTTAATTGGTGCATAAACTCAAGCTAATATTGAATCCCGGGCACACTCAGATATTGTTCAATAAAAATTGCTTCTCCAATCTTCTGATTCGTTCAGATTTCCTTTTTCCATTTTTAATATATCTGGCTTCTCCTATCATCAGAATGGTTTTCCACCAAATAAAGCTAACTCTTATTTTAGGATTTTTCATTACAAATTTTCAGTAAAGCAGCTTCCCTCCAATCATCAGAATGGTGCAAATTTTACACCAGAAATTATTATTAAAATTTGTTGAATGATGCAAATTTAAGACCAAAAATTTTCCGAAAAGCTTGCCCATCCGTTCACCAGAACGGTGCAGATTTTCACCAGAAATTTTCAATAAAGCTTAATTTTGAATAAAGCTTGTACCTTCATTTACCAGACCAGTGCAAGCTTTCCACCAGAAATTTTCTGTTCATTTAATTTATCAGAGCGATGCAAATTTTTCAATAAAGCATGGTCCTCCATTCACCAGAAAGGTGCACCAAAAATTGTCAGTAAAGTTTGTTTCACCATGCACCTTTGTGGTGCAATTTTCTGGCTTTGCCTCTTCATTCACCAGAATAGTGCACATTTTCCACCATAAATTTTCAATGAAGCTTGCATTCATCAGAACGATGCAAATTATGCACCAGAAAAATGAATAAACCTTGCTTCTACATTCACCACAGTGTTGCGAACTTTCCACCAGAAATTTCCAGTTAAATGTGCACCTCCAAATGTTTAGCGTGATTCAATTTTTCCACCAGAGTTATTCATTTTGATTAATCCCTCCATGCACCACCTTGATGATATTTTTACACCAGAAATATTCAAAAAACACTTTTTCTTCGATTTACCACCACGAAGGTGAATTTTTCAACCTTAAATTTACCCTCTTCTTTTAACCCTCCATGAACCACCATGAAAAAAAAATTACACCAGAAATTTTTTGTATGCAAAAAATTTCATTGAAGTTTGTCCCTTCATGCACCAGCAATTTTCAGGCACCATCTCAAAGGAATTGACGCAATGAAAGGTTTTCAGTGCCCTTATATTATGAAATGAAGTTATTTTACCTTCAAATCAAGTTATCAAGAAATCAAGTTTTTTTATATTTTAATTTTGTAAATGTGAAAATAAAAATCTTATTTATAAAAGGGGGGGGGGGGCAATTGCCCCACCTTGCCCCACCCTGTGCACGCCAGTGATTGATTTGTCTTTATTTAGGAGGCTTTCAGACTGAGGCTGGTTCGCCTTAAAAAAAAAAAACGATATAAAGATACAACGTTCCAAACATTATTTAGAAAGTTTCAATAACTATCAAGAAACTGATGAAAATGTGCCTACCGAAAAAAAAAAATCCTCTCCTTGTAATAAGAAATTGCAATAATCAATAAACCTATTAATAGTTACATTTGTTACAAGTTTAATTAATTGGTCAGCCTGATGCGGGTATTTTGTTTTGATAGACTAAATAATGTAATTCTTAGAAACTCAAAAATATCATATACAAACTACTTCTGCTATGGGTTAACGTCTTGCCCCGTAGTGGTAAATCATCACAATACAAGCGACAGGTACAGTAGCGTTGCGCTTGAGCGAAGGTGGAAGCAACGCATAGAAAAATCAGCAAATACACAACATTTTCTTCTGAGTTTGGAATCTTTGCAATCAAATTTGTTTGGAGCATTTACCTTTTTTTTTCCTTTGTGTTGAAGTTTGGCCGGTTAAGACTGCTCACGGTCCATCTCGCCATAGCATTTACAGGGTGGCAAGTGAACCAGGAAAACCAGGAAAACCAGGAAAACCGGGAAAAATTCGGGAATTTATTTTCACCAGGAAAAACCGGGAAAAAAACCAGGAACTTCATAAGTCCACCAGGAAAATAATCTTGTTTGTATAATTTAAATAGGTTTTAAATTTTATGTATGTTAAAGTTTCTTTTTATAATCAGGTCAAAACTAACCATTTTGTTCAAGCTAAATCTTTCACACAACTAAACATTGATGAACAAAATTTACCCTGAGAATTCTAGACCAACAATTGAAATAGGCGGAACAACCAAACGTAAACAATGGCTTTAAACGCACATTTCTCGAGAATCAAAACACACCCACACAAACTAACAATGCCATTCGTACATATATTTTGTATTTATTTTCAATTTAATTTTTTTCTCGAATCGATTGCATGTATGATTTGTGCTTAAATGATAGCAGACTTAAGCAGTGCCGACGCGTAACTACTTTGAAGTACCTGTTCAACATGTTCAATAAAAAGTTCTATTTCTAAAAACTTTTGATAAGGCCTTCGAACTTCATGCAAGTTCTACAAAATTCGGGAAAGTCTTACAAGTTTCAGGAAAATCCTGTGAACTACTGTGATGACCTACGACGGTCAGGAAATCTCTCCGAACCTTCAGAGAAGTCTTACGAACTTCAGGGAAGTCCTTTAATCTTTGGGGAATAACTACGAATTTTACAGAATTTTCTACAGATTTACTAGAAGTTACTATGTAACTTCTACGACATTTAGGCATTGTTTAAAACTTAAGGATAATCCTATGACACTTATGGATTTTTTCCGAGCTTCAGAGAAGTCTTCAATACTCTTGGGAAGTCCTCTGAACTTAACATAGTTCTCCAAGCTCAAAAAAGTTTCTAGAACTTCTGAGAAGTCGATTGAACTACAGGCAGTCCTACGAATT